TTTTTTTTTTTTTTTTTTTTTTTTTTTTTTTTTTTTTTTTTTTTTTTTTTTTTTTTTTTTTTTTTTTTATTCTTTGACAGCCTTGTTAGTGCTTAAATACAAATATTTACATGGTGAAATCTGTTCTAAAACAAAACCTATTTCTAGTAAATGTCCTTTGCAATTGCAAGCCTAGCATCATCTGGCTACAAATGCTGCACCCAGATGTGACTTGTTGCACTGACTTATATACATATCAGGTGATCTTGTCAGCTCTGTCAAGAACTGAACCAGAATGGTTTCACTCCATTTTGTACAACTTTATGCATTCCTTTATTTATTATTTTATTTAAGAAATTAAGTTTATAAATTAAGCAAATAATATAATAATACAAAAAATAGCTTAGTAAATTATTGTTTTGTTAAATTTTTAAAATTCTAATACTTAACTCTTTTTACTAATTCTCTGTATTAAAATAAACAACAGAGAAAATTAACAAGTAAAGCAAAATCTAGTATAAATTATAGTATAAACACTATTAAGTAAAGCTAAAGAGCACTTAAAATAAATAGTAGTTTTTTAAAAATACAAACTCTTTGAACAAAGAAAAACAAGTAAAAAAAACAAAAAAAACTAGTTTTACAAAATCTTTTTATTTTATTTTTGAAAAATTTTAAAAATATGCTAAACTCTGTAAGATAGATCTGTTTACAAACACTTAAATAAACAAATAACAAATAATTATATATCTAGTTACTAAAATAAACAAAACAATAACAAATATTAAACACATAGTTTAACTTAAATAGAAAAACAAACAAGTAATTGTAAACAAAATAATTAAACAAACAGGTATATAATATATATTTTAAAAGAGTTAATATAAAATTAATTCAACTTTTAGAATATAAGTAGAGTAATTAAAATATAAAATTAGTGGTATTTAAAGATTTAGTATTAGTCTTACAAACTAGACAACAAGAAATTTATAAAGAATATAGCCTTTTTATACTTAATAGATAATTCTCCAGTTACCTGGTTCAAAAATTTTTTTTTATATATAAATTTTAATATAAATGCAAATCCATAGTGCCTCTATCTAAAACTTTTTTTTATACTAAGTTAATCATCTTTCTAACTTAAGAAACTTTTATAAAGCTTATTAAAACGTATCTAATAGTGGTTAGAGCATTAAAATTGGCTTGGTAGATGCTGAAATATCTTTAAAAAACCTTTCTTTTACTATATAAATTTCTTTGCAAACAATAGTATTATTTGTAAAGAAATTTATATAGTAAAAGAAAGATTTTTTAAAGATATCTTGGCATCCACCAAGCCAATTTTGATACTCTAACCACTATTAGATACGTTTTAATAAGCTTTCTTAAGTTAGAAAGATGATTAACTTAGTATAAAAAAAGTTTTAGATAGAGGCACTATGGATTTACACTTATATATAGTAAAATTTATATATAAAAAAAAAATTTTTGAACCAGGTGACTAGAAAATCATCTATTAAAATAAATAAAAATATAGCAAAATATTTAAAATACAAAAACCCAAAATTTATAATAGCAATATATAGTATAAAAGATAGCTACAAGTGAACAAAAATTTAAAAAGATCAAGATAAAGAGCTTACAATTGAGAAGCATATACTACTAGAGAATATAATTAAAATTATAATAAAAGTAAAATTAAAAAAACAAAAAAAATTAATAGCAAAACTTTAAAGTAGTCAAGCAAGTAGTATAAAGATAGTAATTAATAATATAAAAAATTTTAAAAGAAAAAGAGAAAAGAAAAAGACTATCAAAAACTTTGAAGCAAGAAAAAAAGAAGAAAGTATTAGAATCAAATTAGCAGAAATAATTTTATATAAAAATAAAATTGATATTTTAAAAAAAAACAAAACAACAAATATTAAAGAAAAAGTATTTCTTTTGTATACTAAATACAAACAACCAAATTATAGTATACAAGTAGTTAAAAACTGTGTTTTATTAGTTAAAAAAAAAGTTACTTAATAAAAAAAAAGTTAATAGACTCAGAAGTAAAAAAAGATATTTATAGCTTTATTTAAATATCAAAAAACATTAAAATTAGATCAATTTTAAAACAAATTTTGAAGCAAGGGCTAATAAAAAGAAAAAGAAATTAGATTTATATCTTACTATCTAGAACCTTTCTATTTTAACAAATATAGCAAGAGTTATAAAATATTTGAAATACTATAGCAGAATAGAAGTTATTGAATAGCAAAATCTAGAAAAATCTAAAGCAGTATATATTAGAATAAAATACAAAAATAAAAAGCAAAAACAAAAACTTTAAAATATCTAAATAGTATATTTTAAAAAGAGAAAGATAAGCAAATTTACAGCAAATAAATTTGAAATTAGAATTAAAAAATTTATATTGTTTGATTTGTTTTAGTAAAACAAATTAAATAATACTAAAATTTTTTAATTCTAATTAATATTTTACAAGATACAGTCACACCCTCCTAAGTGCATACCCTGGGGACCAGGCATGGGCGTGTATTTAAAGAGGGTGTACACTTATAGAATTATGGTTGCGAAATAAGAGTTTTGGCCTGAATTAAGCTTAATTTAGGCTAAAATTAGAAATTACACCCTGTGCGTTATTTTGCGACTATTCAGGTAAGTAATTAACGAAAGCAAAGTCAAACACATGACCGACAACTTAAATATTTAATCGAGAATTAAAAGTGAGAGTTTTTTTTTATACGTAATAAAGAATCATTTAATAATCTGATAACATTTCAAGATTCCATCTTTAGAAAACAAGAGCACACAAAATAATGCAGGATTATATTTAATTTTTATTTACTGCACTGTAATATAAAGCATTTTCAAATGTAACACTAATTTTCTTACCCTCGCGTCATTTACTACTTTGAACAATGGCCATATAAATTTATTTAAATAAAAAAAAAAATTCAAGTATAGATACTATTCACGAACCAGAAACTTCAAGAACTTACTTTTTTAATCTGTTTATTAGTAAGTGAAATTCATTTCATGTCAAATTTGGCCAATTAACGCACTACTTACAAGTATTGATTCAAAATATTAAAATTATCTTTCACTAACTCATCTAATTCATACCATTACTTATCATTATAAGTATCGATTACATCAATACAAAATTTTAAAAACAAAATCATATCCCGTTCTATTTCAATTCTAGTTCAGTTCTGGGTTTGAGTCTAGACTTGAATTAAAGCCTCATATCAAGTTTCAAAAAACATACCTGCATCTTATTGTTCACATAAACATCTCGTAAAATGAGAACCTTGTTTATTATCAACTCTTTATAACATTATTACAAAATAAAAAAAGTTGTCTCTAAAAATTCTATAATTATGAAGTGTAGCCTAATAAATCTAACATCCTTCTTGAAACTTACCTAATTTAATTGATTTAAATTTTTCTTGTCCGTGAATCAAACTAATATTGTATCAAACTAAATAAAATGCCTGTACCTTATTTGTAAAAATAACACCTGTTAAAACCAAAAAAAAAAAAAAAAAAATTAGAAGTTGCTATTCCTTAAATTTATAAATTAAAATTAAAAAACCTTAAATAACTTATCCTATGCTTAATTGACTTTTTTTTTCATTTAAAAAATGCCTAAGAGAACAACCCTTACTGCAGAACAGAAAAATGAACTTTGTGCCTACGCTCGTATTAATAAAAAAAATTAATCACAATATGTTGATTGGATTGAAAACAAGTGGGGTCTTAGAGTCGACAAAAGCACAATTTCACGTATCTTGAAGACATCTGAGGAACGACTTGGCAATGGAATCAGTAATTCTAAAACAAAGCGTCACAGAGCTGTTACCTATCCAGAACTTGATCTCGCCCTTAAAGAGTTCGTGCTGATTTATCAGCATCGAACAGTTTTAACCGATGCTTTACTTGTCAAAAAAGTAAAGGTACTTGCTGATGGTTTGGAAATCCCTCAAGGGATACTAAATTTTTTTCCTGGCTAGCTTTATAAATTCAAGAATCAAAATGGTATTCGTCTACAACAGCTTCAAGAAGAAGCCGTATCCGCTGACATGGTGGCAATTAACAACGTCATGCCATTAATAAAAAATAAATATACAAGTTAACCTCCTGAAAGGATCTACAATATGGACAAAACCGGGCTTTTCTATTGGTATAAGTCTCTTATTAGTATATAAGTTACAGTATGTTGCAAAAAAAACCAGAAAATTTTTATATAATTTAGATTTGCATGATCTAGATTTTTTGTTTTAAATTTTTAATTACTAATTCTTATATAAAATTTAAAGACAAAAGGTATATAATAAATTTTAAACA